TCGCAGTATACTGCTCAGTGCATGGTTAAGCTGCTCAATTAACACTTTGACAAAGTTGGATTTCACTCACTTTGCTTTTGCAGGCAGAAAAGCAGTTTAGAAATTAGTAAATTAGAACAGCTTTTCAATATTTTAGTCATTACAAACAGAAAAGTAAAATCTCAGATGTTAAGAGTCTGCTGATGTGAATGTGAATGCTGTTAGCATCATGATGTGAAACCGGAAACAATGGGACAACATCTGCCCATATCTACTGCCAGTGCTGAGTGCTCCCTTAACAGTTTCTGACGCTTGAATCCTCATCTCAGGGATATGATAACCAACAAAGGACTGAGTGGACTGATGAACATCTATCATTCAGCTGATGCCAGTTTACAAAGAGCCAATAAAAATTACCTGCAAACTAGTGGTAAAAAAAAAAAATGAATTAAAAAATAAAGTTATTGTCTAATCTGACTGTTTGTGTACTGCAGCAGATTGGTTCACTCTTTTAGCTTGTTTTTATGAAGTTCTCTGGGCTAAAGCAAATATAGATGAAATTATTTTATGATACGGAAATGTTTACCTGGCTGCTGGTCTGCTGTTTGATTCCAGGCTCATTACAGATTTATGGACATGTGTGCTATTGGTGAGGTTTGTGCAACTTGAGAAAAGAAAAAGGACATCCTGCCAGCACTGCTTGAAATGCATAAACTACAAACAGATTGAGGGAAGGCTTTTATTGTGGCGATATCTCAGCATTTCACAGCAGCCAGCACAGAGTTTGGATCATGATGAGACAAAACTGGAATCCAGACCTGCAGGGCATCCCCTTCAAAAGCCTGAGTCAGCTTTTCTATCACATCAGAAAAGCAAATATGGGTTAGCACATGGCCTTTAGCAAACATACTTCAAACAGCAGCTCAAGACCAGACATGCTCCTCTGAAACCTGCTAATAAGTGCAAACAGCCTTCTGAGCACTTCCACAGCTTCATCCTGGATGTAGGATGGACACAGCAAAAAGAATTCCTAATTACAGGGACATGCACTCTTTCCTCAAGTCCCAGGAAGCCTCCATGTTGCTTTAGTTATGTGTAAACATAAGATGGTTGTCTAGAAAGCAGCCAAGGTAACAGTCTGTGCCCTTTTTTTTTTTTTTTTAAAGGTCTGGGACAAGTGATTGTTTTGAATTACAAAATAAGTGTCCATTAAATGTCATAATTTTCCCCATTTGAAAGAGACAGGTACATATTATATATGACAAACTGTAACAAAGCATTTTTACTTTATGATGCATGTAAAGCATCTGTCCAAGACTGCCATCAAAGGAGACATCTCAAAATTCCCAATGAGCAAGCATCGCTCTCAAACAGAGTCCCTCTGTCTGCCTGTCTATAAGCACCACTTACACCAGCCATAAGACAAAACAGAGAGCTCTATTGTTCATCATAGTGGTTTGTTTTGACTGAGCTGCATAAGCACACAAAGGCTGGGAGGGAGGGGGAAAAAAAACGGCATTGCAATGCTACAGTTGACACCTGCCTGCATACTCTTTTTAGTCTCAAAAGTAAACTGAAAGAACATGCAAAAGCAGCTTAGCCCCTTGGTGAAATCAGCCATGTAATTCACAGAGACATGCAGAGAACAATGAATACAGGAGGGAGAGTGGACCACTATAATTGCTTTTCAAATCCTGCAGCTCAGGTCCCTTTAGGCAACATAACCCTACTTCACTGGGTGCTCCCCTAAGAGCTCCGGTACTCGTGGTATAGAAAGAAAATAAAGAGTGTATCTTAATTCCCGAGTTACACGTGACCAGCGAACTATGCTTCAGCACATGCAGCAGCAGCACACAACAAAACACAAGCCTCTGGCTCATTTTCTTTCACAGATAGTTGCATGTGCCTGTAAAAACTGATAGCAGTCTGTACTGAGATGAAAAGCTGTCATGTTAGAAAAGACTAGAAAAGACAAACCAGGCCAAAATCACACCACAGTTTGTTTTACTTAGTCTGTTTTTATCCAAGTTACGTGGCAATTTCCGTGGACATGACAGCGTAGGCCCACATAATAACACTTTATATGTTTTGACTCATGCAGGCCTTGACTCATTCTTCACCTTTACGCAGTTTTTCTATGACAAAAGCCAAAACTCCTTTTCTACCACAGACAGAAAACAGTATATTTAGCACAGAATAAGGAATCAACTCACTGCTTTTCATTTAGAAATCAGAAGAGTATCTAAGATATTTATCATATACAAGAGGCAAAAAAAATGCCTCTATTCCCAATGTTTTTCCTGATTAAAAGTGGGCTTTTATTGAGGTTACTTTACTTAGCCATAGGCAGTAAACTCCTGTGCCTGCAGGGATTTGGTGTATGTGTCGACACATTTAGAGTATTCATCAGCTACCTGCAGGAATAACCTGCAGCTATTTCCAACATGGCTGAATACCTGGATGCCTATCTTTACTTTTATACCTCCCGGCAAGAGGTTTGAAAAGTGGACAGGGAATTTTCCTCTATCTTTAGACCGGCTGGAAATAAAATCATGAAAAACCTTAATGGTATTCAAGCAATTAGTGATGTAGCAATGTAAACACAGCTTCCAAAAGGTGGAAATGTAGTTTTTAAGATAAAGTGTTTCATGTGAGAAGGGCTTCCAAGAGCTTTTCCTGCCTGCATGTATGTGCACAGTCGTGGCAGAAGTTCATTTGTGTTGGATGGAATCACACATTCTTTTCATATTACTCACAAATGCACAACTTGTGTCTTAACTTGACTAAGAAGTCCTTCATCTTCATGCACATGCAATAAAATGCAACACTGAATAATATACACGCCATACAGAAGATTGGTTATGCTGCTGCAAACAACAGTAGGCTTGTTTTTTGGGGAATTTTCCTTAATATAAAACTCCTTGCATTTCCTTTTTTGGCTGCAATGCGGTGAAGACAGGAAGATGCTGAAAAGTGACCCCTGGGAGTGTGTGAATAACAAAGAGCAAAGACATAAACTGCTTACAATTAGCATTAAAAAGGGGATTAAGTTAGTAAATCAATGAATTCAAGGAAAAGCTCCCAAAATTACTGTTGGCAACATCTGGTTTCCAGACAAGTGTGCTGCTTTCAAGAGCTTTTTTTAAGAAACAAAAAGGCCAAACTATAACACAACAACTGATTAAGTTCCACATCTCTTAGAGGAACTCCAGAAAGTCTACTTCACATTCGGGGACAGTTCACGATCACTACTAAAGCTAAATCCCACTAATTCAGCACCTAGGGCAAGGCAAATGAAGCCAAATGAATGTTACTTTAGAAACCGATAAAAACACAGAGGGGGAAAGAGGGTAAGAGCAGCCTCAGGCGATGGAAAACAATGGCACAGTGCAGAGATTAGATATGTGGCAGGTCATAAACAGACTTCTTCCAGTTAGCTTCTGTTACATATTTATCGTAAAGCTGAAACATTAACGTTTTGTCTACAGTCGGGTATTTAGGACACTTTGCGTCATTCGTTTCTTACAGTGTTAACAAGTCAGATTTCACTAATCAGACAAAACCTAACAGCTCAGGGACCTGCTGGTTATAAAAAGTTAGAAAAGTGACCATAAAACGGTCGCTTTGTGAGACATGCGCGCGCATCTGCGCGAGCCTCAACGGCAGCAGCTTGTTCGGACTAAACGGTAACTTTAGTAGACTACAACAATAAATCACAGCTGTAGCCTCAAAACGGACGCGTACCCAAACTCTTCTCGAAGAATTTCAGCGCTTCCGTAGTTTCGTCTTCTCGTTTTTTCTGAGAAAAATCCACAAAAGTTGTGTTCTGAACTTCTCCGTGCCCACCAGTACGACCCTGCCGTCCGTGCACATCGCTACGCCATGATGTCGAAGTGACAGGGTCGCTGGAAAACTTTGCCTGTCATGGCTGAAAAATCCCACCCCTGCTACAGGCTTGGATTGGCCTGGAATTTAAATGGGAGTCCTGGTGCGTTCACTGTAACGTGCCTAACATAGGAGCTGTGAGTTTTCTGCGGGAGATTCAGTCATCTCCGGTACGGGAAATGATTCAGAGAAACCAGAAACTGTTTGGAAAAAAAACAAACAAAACAAACATTTTTATTGTCATCTTGATGTAGGAATAGTTATGACCAACAGCGGCTTTCACACACAGCGGTCCGTCGAGCTAAGTAACGCAAAAGTGAAATTTCCCATGTTTTCCTGGATCAGGGAAGAGACGTATTCCTTAAATTCTTGGAGGCCTTACTTTTGTGGGTAGTGAGCTTTAAAGAAGTACAGGCGACACCAAGTGGTGTAAAAGCGTCAGTGACGAAAAAAATACAAATAAATAAATACATAAATAAAATAGAATAAAATAAAAATAATAATAGCATGATTCTCCGAGCGTAAATTTTAAGAAATAGATGTGTAAAAATTACATTTTTTAAAAATCACATTGGTTATTGACTGTCCTGTAATTTCAAAAATACATGTTTAAAAATTATGTTTTTTTCCACAGAAAATGTTTTAACACTATATATCTACTGTAAAAATAAATAAATATTTAGTAGTAGTAGTAGTGAAAAAAAATTCTTTAATTTTTATTAGTCTATTACCCAATTACTTTGATGTAGCATGAATACCCATTGGTGAGGCCTCATTAGTGGAGATGTCATTCTTATAATGTTATTAGGGTCCATTACTTTATGCAAGTTAATCTGGCCACAAGTGCAGAATTTAATAATAACAGTTCTTTTTTTTTCTTTTTTCACTCACATGTGTCATGTGTACATTATGGATTTACATATGTAAATTCATACTTTTTTCTAAAATCTGGTATGTTTGAGGAACATTAATAACCCAGAACAGAGCAATACATAAAAACAAAAACACAGCATTTCATCTTGTGGAAGCTTGATAAAATAAGCTCCAAATGTTACAGCACTCTAAAGCAGCTACGACAAAGTTATCCAATAGATGAAGATAGAATTTAATTCCTTGAATTTTTAGCCCAAACACGGGCTGGTCCAGTGTGCCTAAATAGTGAACCACTTCAAATTAACCGTGGGTTTTCCAAAGCGGTGTCCCTCTTCAGCGGCCTCCCCACCTTCACGGTGCTCGGGTCACATTCCAGCATCTCTCTGATCCAATTATCATCCAGCGCTCCCTCTATGAACTCTTCCAGACTGATGATCGCTGCAAGGACGGGCACCGATTAGACAAACACCACTGGACTGACTGTTAATAATCTGTCTGTGAGGGTTGATACTAGTGAATGGAAAGTTTTGGGGCTAAATTTGGGGAACCACCATCAGTAAAATATGCCTCTGTATATTATCCAGAGTATTGGTTGTCTTTAATTATATCAAAATGGAAAAGAGCAAATCATATCTTTTAGATTAACATTTTTGCCTCTTGCTTATTTTGTGGGTTGAGCAACCCATTTGCATTTTGTTATTTTTAATCAGCATCATACATGCTACAGTTCTGTCTTCAATTAGATGCCTTATTAGGCTTCAAGGATGTTTTTATTGTTTAAAGTTGTTACTAAAGATACTTTTAAAAACAAACCACAATTTAGTGGTGGATTTATTTATTTATTTTTTTAAATTGGATTATTTACCTTTTCTATAGAAACATATATAATCAACTTTGATACACATAGAAATAACATTACACGCAAAAAGGAGGGAAAAGTTGCCACCTTTCCTCACCGTTATTGTCTTTATCTAATCTCACAAATATCCTGCTGGTGCATTCTTCAGCTGTAAGTGGGTTGGGTTTGGTTAAACCAGCAGCCACGTTCATCTTATAAACAGCCTGTCCGAACAAAGAAACGCACATCAGTCGAACTACAACATCTGGCACATCTTCTGTTTTATATACCACGACACAGAGCCTGCACACCTGCATGATCTCCAGCATTTCCTCCTTTGAGATGGCTCCGTCTCGGTCTTTGTCATAGAGCTTGAATGACCAGCGCAGTTTCTCAACAGCTGAACCTTCAATAAGCATGCTGATGGCCATGACATACTCTCTGAAGTCAACCACCCCATCCTGAAGAAAAAAAAAAAAAGCACCACACAGTTAATGTTTTGTTTCAGTTTTGTGATGCATGACTATGAAAGCGTGTCCTTTCTTTTAGTTGTCTTCAATATGCCTGGAGAACTATTTCTGAAGGACATTCAAAGATATTTGGATGTTTGCTGCCTTTTGTTCAGTTCTGTCAAGATGATCTCACAGATACGCCTTTAATTCACTGGCAGTGTGTTTGGGATCACCATCATGCTGAGAAACGAAGCTGTTGCTAATTAGTTTCTTTCCAGATGGTATGGTATGATGGATCAAAATTTGATTGTACTTTTTGCACTCTTAATTTAATCAATTTTGACAAGATCCCCACCACCACTGGCCGCCCCCTACAGAGCCTCCATTGCGTTTTAGAAAATGGCTCTACACACTCACTGTTGTACCCATCCCCTGACATGACCCCTACATTCTGACAATCATTTAAACATTTCACATTTGGATTCACCTCGCTACCAGACCTGTTTTAGCTGATTTTCAGTCCAGATCTTGTGTAATTTTCATTCCTCAGCCTTTTCTTCCCATTTCCATTCTATATGAATGGTTTCTTCACAGACACCCTTCCACCGAGACCATTTCTCTTTAACCTCCAAAGACCTGAACTCTTCCACGGCATGCGTTTTTATTTTCTCTTTGATATTTGGGCTGATTGGGACCTGATGAATGTAAAAACAAAGAATTACCAGATTTTTATTTTTTTTTTACCTAATTTTTGTTTCTAAGAAAAATGAGAGCCACATATGAGGATATTCGTTTCGATAGAACAGTAGCAGTATAATGTCCTCGTAAGTGGGTATCAGGCCCTTGTAGAGCAAAATTTAGTATTTATGTCTAAACCCAAAATGTGATGTCCACATTTTTGGACACCAGGTCCTAGGAGGTTAAGCTTCAGCATGATAATCTGATAGATGGATCAACTGAAGGCCCAGATGCATCTCTGAGCAAAACTACCACTAATTTATGCCTGTCAAAATATCTAATTTTTGGCACTTTTCGTAGATTAAATGACAATAGACGCTTTGAATCTCTTTGAATCTAAAGATATTGGAACAAATTAAGTACTCTTGAGACTGGCTCCCAGGCTTCCTACAGATACAATTTTAAACGGGCTATTCGCTAAACTTATGTGAAGACAACACTGGTTCATCCCTTGAATTAGGTGCCCTTTTATTGCCTGAATGATTCAGTGTTAAGTGAAAAAAATAATTCCTCTAAAATATTTCAGGCACAAAGAGTGAAAAAAAGTGTGTTTTTCTATGAATACTTTTTTGGAAGACCTGGATAATTATTACTCAGGTTTACTTTAACCTCCTAGGACCTGGCGTCCACATATGTGGATATCACATTTTGGGTTGTTTTAGACCAGAATACTACATTTTGCTCTACAAGGGCCTGATATACACTTACAAGGACATTATACTGCCACTGTTCTATTGAAATTTAAAGCCAATGTCCTCATACGTGGATCTCATTTTTCTCAGAAACAAAAATTAGGTTAAAATAAATAAATTAATAAATCACATAATTCACTGTTTTTACATTCATCAGGTCCCAATCAGCCCAAACAGCAAAGAGAAATTAAAAATGCATGCCATGAAAGAGTTAAGGTCTTAGGAGGTTAAAACTTTGCAATTCTGGATTTCATGGAGGCAAAAATATAAAGAAGTGAGTGGTGACTCAATACTTTTTCAAGACTCCTGTACTGTATAGACCTCATGCTTACCCCATTGCTGTCGAGCGTGCGGAAAATCTGTTCTGCATACTCTGCTGACTCACTGCCCACAGTTCCATCACAGAAATGCCTTTGAAACTCGTGAAGAGCGATTAGCCCACTTGGACACTCGATAACAAACTTTCTGCCACAGATAAAAACAACAGTTTGTGTTTTAATACATTAAAGGAGTTGGAAAACAAGGGTAGTTTGAGAGAGGGGTCTGATTTGAGAGAAAATGTGTTTTAAATTGAGAATCAGTGGAATTAAGGTCAACCCATCCCCAACCTGTGTGGATTACATGTGTTTGAAAGCTTATTTACAGAGTGCGGCACAAGTGCCAAGATAATTAGGCCAAATGACATCATGGCAGAGTGAAGCTGATCAGTCCACAGGAGATAATACTTTACTTTGTTGCTGATGCTGGTAGTTTTGCAGATTTGCCTGCAAAAACAACAAATTCTAATCTGGCTAAATACACTGGCAATTCCTACAATGCTAAAATCAATAAGAGTAAAAATAAATGTATTGATCCCAAATTCAAGTACACTCTCGCGCTGATGGATGCTTATTTTAAATATGCTCAAACATTATTTAACAATGAAATTAGCATATGTGCAAGTAATTACAATGAGCGCCAGATTGCTCTAAAAACTAAATTTCAGATTTTTGTAATACTCTTGTCTCTGGATGATGTCAGTGAGAGCAGATTTCCTAATATGGTCAAAAGCTCCCATTCAGCTGCTGTTTATACCTGTTGTTTGTTTTGATTGGCTGC